AACCAGAACCAGTTTTGGAAATTGATTCGGACATTACCGTCAAGTAAACCGAAAACTTGTGCATTTATTAGTGTCTGAGGTCGCATTAAATGAGTACTGTGATCATTAATATTGACTGTAATATTACCTGTGATACTAGATTTAGCTTTATGTGTGTTAGTGAATGTGATGTAGTAGAAGCTGTCCTTAACATATGATCAAATGCGGTTGAACTTGATGGCATTAACCCCAAGTTTTGCCACAGAATTTGCCATATGACACTTTTGTCATAAATAGCTTGATGACCACTTCCGTTTTTCCTAAGAGGTGGAAGGACGCCAGAATACTTCCAGTGGCTAAGCAAATGGTGACTAAAGGTCAATATCAATATTACCCTTCCTGTCTAAATTAACCGAAAACGTAACATTGTTAACCCTACTACGTTTCAGCAAAGCCTTCGATACTGTGAGCCACGATATTTTGTGCTGGAAGCTTATAAAAAGTTTACTTTTTCTATAACAGCAGAAAAGTTATCACTTGTCCGGCCTGTCAAGCCAGCGCACTTTGTGCGCACCATATCATCAGCCCCTATTACCAGGCTGCATTTTTTCCATCATTTTAAGTAATCGATCTAAGCGGTCACGTAAAGGTACTTCACTGCGCGCTACGTACGAACGGGAGAGAAAGAGAGCGGCAGCGTAGTGCAGTCATGTGCATCAAAGCCCAACACCAAAAACAACACTACGGCGTGTACAAACAAAGCTCAAAGGAAAGACCGCAAGATCACAAAAACACAGAGAAGAAACACAAATGCTTAAAAGTTTTTGTTAGTGTTTTCAGTCGCGAACCGAACGGAATATTAAAGTTTGTAGTTTTAAAAACGGACTTTGACTTCGTTTTTTATTTATTTATTTTTAAAGACAAGAAGGAAATGATTAGTTTAAACATATATTTGTTAATTACAATTAAGTTTAAAAAAAAGGGCCTACTATTGATGTGGGTGGTGTTTCAAATAAAGGACCAAGCTTATTAGGGCTAGAAGCTTGACCTTAAACCTAGTCGATTTCGTCCTTAACAGAACTTTTTAGTTTAATTTAATTTTAATTTTAATTTTTTTTATTTACTATCCTAGTGCTTGTATTTATTGCGCTAGTCAAAATAGGTTGAAAATATTAAAATTTTGTTTGATGACTTAAGATCTATCTTATTCTAGCAAAATTATATTATATTAGATATATTGAAGAGGTACGATGGTTGCTAAGAAGTCACAATATTACTGAAATTAATAAGAGTCCTGTAATCTACCATGTGGTCAAGTTAAGGTCTATAAGTGTATTGGTCAAGTGCGGAACATGGTCGTTTGTCGTTTCAGGTTATACACATATCTGCCTATAGAATTCGACTCTACTTTTAACTGTGACAAAATATCTCAACCCCATAAAAATTAGGATTACTTAAGATACTATCATTCTAATATGCTGTGGCAGATTGTCTTTTAAAGCCGAGAGCTGAAGCAACAAGCCTTATGTACGTACAGTTGTCTTTTAAATGTGTTTACTCCAGCTCAAGGTATTGCTAAAAGTGGTGCCTAGATTTGTTGCATACTCCTTATATTTTATAGGCATGTTATTAATTACCAGACCCTGTAGGCATCTGGTATCCAATGATTTCTTGCTGATTACTATGCATTTTGGTTTGGATGTATTTATGCTTAAGACGTTGTCTTTCGCCCAATTGTCAACTAGATACAGAACATTATTACTCTTACTAACACACACATTTATTTGACTAATCGGACTACTAACATAAACTTCATTAACATATATGGGAAAAGTAGAGGTCCTTGGACAGATCCCTGAGTAACTCCCCTAGTTAGATCTCTAACCCTAGACACAGTACCCCAAGATACTTCTGTTTGTTGTCTGCCAGCAAGATATGAAGAAATAAAATGCTCAGCAGTATCTGTAAAGTTGTACAGATTTTTTAGCTTACTACTAAGAATGTAGTGGTTCACCGAGTTAAATGCTTTGCTATGGTTCAGTTGGCAGCAATTGTCTTCAACGATGTCTGTTATTACACTTATACAGCTCATTTTTTCTAAACCCTGTTTCTGTTCAAGAAAAGTCTGAATTTGTAAGAACATTAAATTTTGGAATTTTGGGGTAACTTCAGATTTCTTCCAAATTGAAGGAAAATTGTAATGGATGTGTTAGAATATTTGTTATGTTTGGAACAAGAAGCGGCAACAGAATTTTAAGAAATTTAGGGCTTATAATGTCTAAACCATCAGCATTCGATTTTATTTTAAGGATACACTCTAAGACATTACATTCATTGACGCACACAAAGCTAAAACTATTATCACAGTAGGGTTGATATGTCAAGTAATTATTGTGGCTCATGAAAACATAAACATACATGTTGACTTTGTTTACGTTTTGACGAGCCACAGCTGTCCAGATCAGCTGAAATCGGAATCGAATGTGCTCTGTGGCAATCGGAGTTTCACATTTGCTGAAACTTCCAACCGTTTCCAACGGACGGACTGTGTGGAAAGATGGCATTAGTCTGTTTGCTCTCAAAATCATTTTTAAAATTCCTTTTCTTTTTGAAAGGGAAGATCTGTTTGCGGAATTGACAAAAACTTGTCCTTGGTTGTGTGTTTTGATCGCCAAGTTGATCGTACACAAACACAGAAATTTTGGTCGCTAGTTGACCTTTAAAATCTGCTAGTTATTTGTCTGTCGGCAAGTTGAAAGCAGTTACAAAAAAGAGTCCGCTAAAAAACTTTCTATTAAAAATTTGTTGCTAGGTCGCCTAGTTGACCAGATAATCACTACCGTGATTAATGCTGCTGTGATCAAATAATGATCGGGATTTCGAGTTTAAATTGGAGTCCCAATTCAAACAAATTTATCGGTTTAATGTCGGTGGTCACCAAATTTACAAATTCAAATGAATTTAGAATGTAGAAGTATTTTTTTTGCTGCGTGCCGCAAGTACAAAGCTATGTGCAATAGTCGCCGCAATAAGTACAATACCAATTGGGCTCCGGAGAGTTCAAGAGTTCTATTTGTAACAATTTTTTTGGGTATAACTTGGGGTTTATATACATGTTCTTGGGTCAAAAGGTATTTTCCTGGGTCTACTCTAGGTCACAACTATCAGTTACATGGTTTAGCCTATCATAACAAAATAATATGGACACAGATGTCATGGGTTAAACTATTCCTGCATATCGGCATGCAGATGGTGTGAAGACGTGACCGATCGTGAGTTTTAATTTATGATGGGTCAGAATTGACACAATTAGGTACAAACATACGTGGTCCTGTGCTTGTTTAGGTAGGCCGATATCAATAAACGACCCTTATCTATTTATCCCATAAATGCTGATACAGCTGCGAGCTATTTTCTTTTAATGAAAATCTTAAGCTTGCTTAATTTAATATTTGCAGCAGCTTTACAAGCTGAAAACAGCTGAACTGTGTTTGGCAATGTAGGCCGATATCAATAAACGACCCTTATCTATTTAACCCATAAATGCTGATACAGCTGCGAGCCATTTTCCTTTGACGAAAATCTTACAGCTTGCCTAATTTAATATTTGCAGCAGCTTTACAAGCTGAAATTCAGCTAAACTGTTATGTTAAGGCATAGTGCCGGTTCTTATTCCACCGTTTTGTTGACTTCCCAACGAAAGGCAACTTATTTTATTTTGTGTAAATGCGCCCATCGCAGCCGACGAATGGGGGCGAATATCAAAAAGTTTTGCACTTACTGCAGGATTACAATGCGCACAGTATGTATGTATCAGTGCAGTCCTTGCGAATCCATTGCTTGAAGTACTGATATTGCATTACCTTTCGGGTTCTTAACCCAAGCACACTGTTGATGAACGCTTTGCAGCCATTATTTTGAATTCATATATTTGTATTAACTTAAGTTTTGGTATTTTTTAGTGTCATATACCATTTGTGCTGCTGTGAATTTTTAGTGATAAGACTACAGCCAAGCATGTCGGACACGCAGAAATAAAAATAATACAGTCCAATCAAACTCGGGAATTAAACGTTTCAATTCATCACCATATCTTTGGTCCTTTTCGCCAAATAAACTAATTGATTAACATGGATCAATTAAAACTACTGAAGGCATCACGCGTTCGCTAACGGCGTCACAAGATCCACGTGCTGGATCACCCTGGGAACTGAACGAAATTACAGTGTCATTGGATTGGCTCAATACCGTTTGGAAGGAATTTGAGACACTCAGCCACAAAATGGCCCTTTTCGACGAGGAGAAGGGGTATGTCGATCCAGCCATCGACAAGTACTTGCAAGCAAACACCTTATTTCACTCGCTAAAACGGGCTTGCGAACAAGCCAAGCGATCGTCACACGCCTTGGTATCAACGGGGGAAGGTGCTTGTGTTAAATGTAACTCCAAGGAGCACAAGATCTTTATCTGCCCTAAGTTTATGGACTTATCAGTCGAGCAAAACGCACTTTTGTTAAAGCTAAATCCTTGTGCTTTAATTACTTGGAGTTCGGGCATGTGTCACGCAGGTGTGAATCCGAATTCACATGCAGAACTTGTCACAATCGTCACCACTCTCTAATACACGTAGAAGATTCTACTGCACACGCCGCTGTAACCAAAACACATTCAAGGGATGAGGAGCAGCGCGACCTCGGCTCTCCAGAGGTTACAACGGTGACCATCAGCAACATTGCTCGTGTACAAGACACTCTATGCGCTGAATATTCGTACAACGGATCAGCTACTACTACACAGCCACAAGGGTTACGGAAAAGCGCATTGCCCACAGCTCTAGTACTCGTTCGCATCGCCAAAGGATCACATACTTCCTGACGGGTGCTTTTGGACAGTGGCTCGGAACTGTCATACATACGCGCTTGCCATCACGAATTTTGGTGTCGGGAATTTCTTCGATCAAGGCTGAGACAACTAGAGGCTGCAGCGCACTGGATATTTAGTCAAGAATATCAGAACACACAATGAAGGAACGTGCCCACGTACTCAGCAAAATTACCTCCACGTTGGCAACACACAATATCAACGCCTCAGCACTTAAGGCGTTCAATGGCTTGGAGCTTGCAGATTCTGACTACCAATCGTTGGCGCCAGTAGATAATCTCTTGGGCAGCGATTGCGTTTGGACCGTGTTCACTGGTAAAAAGCTGTTCGACCATATTTGGATGGGTCATTACTTCGATCGTGACTACAGGCTCCTCATCTACAACGACTGACAAAAGTTCTGTTCTTCTATTTCAGAAAACCATGGTAAAGAAGAGGGGAAGACCACCGCACTGACTACTCCGGAGGTCATCTTATTGTCACCGATCAAAGCACTGTCTCAGCGGGTCTCATCCTGGACTAAAATGGTTCGCATTGTAGCTTACTCCCTACGCTTCATCCAAAGGATCAAGGCTATTAAGTCAGGCACGCTGACAAATTGCAAGGGGCTCACCTTTGAGGAGATGCAGGCTGCTCGCATTCTTTGCCTTCAAGAGGCTCAAAAACGCTTCAAGAACGACTACAATCTACTGATGGAGAACAAGCCACTTCAGAGTCGCTCCCAGCTCATCAAGCTTTCACCGATCATTAACAAGGATGGCCTTCTTGGAGTCGTTGGACGACTGGATAATTCACAATTACCAGCTGATGTCAAACACCCAATTTTGCTTCCCAAATCGCACAGCATTGCAAGGATGATTTTGGAAAACGAAAATGCGTCAAATCTGTACCCTGGAGTTTCAGCACTTGTTGTCATTATCCGCCAAAAATATTGGGTCTTTGGCGCACGCAACCTCATAAGGAATCTGGTGCACAATTGCATCAAATGTTTTCGCCAACGAAATCAAACAGCACAACAATTCATGGCCGATCTACCGGGGATTCGCATTACAGAGGCACTTCCCTTCCAGCACTCAGGCTGCGATTACGCTGGACCATTTATTCTCAAGGAAAGAAGAGGGCGAAATCCACGGAAAACTAAGGGCTACATATGTCTGTTTGTCTGCCTCGTAACATCAGCCATTCACTTGTAACTGGCCACCGATCTCAGCACAGACACCTTCATAGCATGTCTTCGTCGATTCATGTCTCTGCGTGGCGACAACGGGACGAATTTTGATGGTGCCAAGCGGGCTTTAGATGAAATGCAGCAACTTTTATCTTTACAGGTGCATCGTAATACAGTAGCGCAAACTTTGGCCACCAATGCCATAAAATGGAACTTCATACCTCCACACTCGTCACACTGGGGCGGAAAATGGGAGTCAGCGGTACGTTCTGTGTAATTGCACCTTCGACTCGTCGTGAAAAGACGATCTTGACTTTTGAGCAAATGCAAACTCTAATCGCCCTGATAAGCGCCCGTTGTGCTATACACCTGACACTGACCTCACATACTTGTCGCCAGCCCTCTTTCTTATTGGACGCCCATTTACAACTTTTCCAGAGGGTGATCTAACTCATTTGCCAATCAATCGCTTGCACTATTGGCAACATTTGCAATCCATGTATCAAGGATTTTGGAAACGCTGGCACCAGGAATACTTAACATCGCTACAGCAACGTCACAAGTGGAACAGCAAGGAACGCAACATTTCAGTGGACAACGTCATGCTTGTAAAGGACTCAAATCTTCCACCAGGAGCTTGGCAACTAGCCCGTGTGTTAGAAGCTCATTCTGGACCAGATGGATTTGTACGCGCCGTGAAACTTAAGACATCCACCGGAGAGATGACTAGACCTATCACCAAGCTAGCAGTATTGCCTAATTCTGAAACCGTGTTTCAGGGGGGCCCGGGATGTTGATAAACGCTTTGCAGCCGTTATTTTGAATTCATATATTTGTATTTAACTTAAGTTTGGAATTTTTTAGTGTCATATACCATTTGTGCTGCGCCATACTCTTGAGAATTTTTAGTGATAAGACTACAGCCGAACATGTCGGACACGCAGAAACCGTCTGGTTTAAATAAAAGTAATACAGTCCACTCAAACTCGGGAATTAAACGTTTTAATTCATCACCACACACAACACAGCAAAATAGTAATCAAACTCCTCAAATTGTGCATATAATCGAATCACTGAGTTGTGAACCATTATTAATCGTAATTTGTGCAATTAATATCAAACAAGGTATAAAAAAAAGGCAAAAATGATAACGAAAAGTAAAAAAATTGCTCGTATGTTAACTAAGTTGCTAAAATTTCTAAGGAAATATTAAAAATTGCTAGATTTGTGGCTAATAGCATTTAAAAAGAAATAAAAGTTGCAACTTTTTTTAAATTTTCCAGAAATAGCACCTTGTTTGCTGAAGTGGCAGCACTGCTTTACTGTCTGCGCCAGACGAACCTATTCACAATTCAGCAGATGACAACGACGATTCCAAGTTGAGCTACATTTCAAGATGGCAACGTGTAAAATTCATTAAGCAGCAGCTTTGGCGTATGTGGCCAAGGGACTACATCCGCAACGCTGGAACCTTGCAAGGGTTACTGGAGTCATCTTTGGGCGAAACAACCAAGCGGTCGAAGGTCCTCTGCGCAGGAGAGTACATAAAATAGCTTCACTTTGGGGGGGAGTATGTTGGAATAGAGCTAATGTAACATTATTGTAACAATCAGCTTAAGCTTACGTGTGTTACAGCACTACTCATAGTGTTGTGCAACATGGCTTTGTCCTTTTCCCACTCTCTTGAAAACTCTAAAGAATTACAGATCGCGCACACTTTCATATACAGCTTTAACTTTGAGATGCGCCGGCGAATATTTACTAGATCGGCATCTGATCGAACAGTTTTTTAATTTTTTTTGTTCTTCGAGATATAGTAATAATTTGTTATTTCATAAGTGCGGCTTAAGTTTTATTTAAATCGTAATACTATATAATTTGCCACCAAAGGAACACTTGGAAATTATAAATAAATAAATAACAAAAAAGTTGTAATTTTTCTACTTATAAATTATTTTTCTATTTGTCCGCTTCTTCGCAAACTAGTCTCTCAGTTTAAATGGTATATGCTTAAACTTTGTTAAGAGTTGTATTTCTATGCAGGTTTTATAAAAGTCGAAACGAGAGATTGGTCTTCTATATCCTATACCATAGGAAAACACAAAAAAAATGTTTGCTGTTTTTAAATTTTTTTTAGTTCTTCGATATATGGTACTTATGGTTTTATGGTTTATTCAGACGACTATATCAAAAGTCTTCCATGGGAACAATCAAAATATTCAAAAAATTGTATGAAATAAAAAATTTAACTTCTCTAATTTTCAATCTTTTTTTTAACATAGTAATGGTTTAATAATTCAGATTTACTCTCTTAATTTTATTGAAATCGGAAAACGACTCATGGTTGTCATAGGAACGATCTAAAAATTGAGGTGATACTCATCAAATTCTCCGCCGTCATCTCTTGACAGACTGCCCTATATTTTTGGCTTCACTTAGTTCTATTCTGCGCAGTTGGCGCTGTTAGTCAAGCCGGCAGCGCGCATCAGTCTTATATGTTAGTATGGTTTTTTATTAATAAATAAGTAATACAATTTAGTATTAACCAGACAAGCCGCAATGAACATATAATAATGCACACTTAGATTTTATGAACCGTACGCTCTCGATGCCGTAAAAGAAGTGAACGAGAATATTGAGAGAGCATGAGAACAACGAACAGGCGAGAAAGAAGGAGCACATTGGAATGTGCGTCTACTTTTTATACACATACATTTAAGGACATATATATTTATGCGTGCATAATTATCCATGTGACTTTGCATATTTGAACACGCAAATTTCAACACGCTGCCTAAAAAGTTGCATTGATTATCCCCTTCGATTCTTGCATTGAAGTTGTGCTTTAGTTTTAATTTAATTCTTCATTTCATTTCATTTCATTTTTCTTTTTATTTTTTTTTAATTCTGGGGATACATTAAATCCAGCAAGAGTTGGTGAAACGCAGTAAGACACAACTAGATCCAAAAAAAAATTAACATAAGTAAAGGTTTTACTTAAGATTATTTGTAAATATGAAAACTGAAATTAATGACAAGAACTTCATGAGATCCTTTTAAAAAAATAGCCAAGTATATGAATTCGATTCAATTACTTAAGACTTATTAGATATAAAAATTTAAATTAACAACAAAAGGCTTCATGAGATATATTTCACGTTTCGCTTCTAAATGGCGATGAATTTTCACCAACAGTTCACATGGTTCGTAGTTAATTTATTCAGAAAATCTCAGCAGGCTTCTCAGGGAAATGAACCGTGCAGCTGGTAATGGCTTCGTCAATATATCGGCTAATTGCAGATCTGCGGGGATATACCTTACACAAATTAGCTTCTTTTCAATTTGCTTTCTTGTAAAATGATATTTAATATCTATGTGCTTTGTTCTTTTATGGCAAGTAGGATAATTTTCAAAACTTATAAAACCTTGGTTGTCTTCATAATTGTAGATAAATTTCATTTATTAGTGATTTAAGCCAAAGAGCTTCTCTTACACCTTCAAACAAGGCCATGTATATAGCTTCAGTAGATGAAGCAGCAACCGATTTTTGCTTCATGGTAATCCATGAAATCAAACAACTTTTAAACATTTTAAATAGATACCCAGGGGTACTTCTTCTGTCAGTTTCATTTCCAGCCCAATCGGAAATTACATATCCTGTAAGAATATTATTAAAATCTAAGCTTGAGATTGACAGTTCCCTTCAGATATCTAAGAACTCTTTGTTTTTTGTATATCTGCTTAGAATACTTATTGAAGTTCTTAAGTCGGGCCGTGTACATAACATTACGTACATCAAACAACCAATTAAATTTCTACACGGTGCATATCAAAGTTCTTCTGATTGCCGTATAGTCCAACTTGCTTGGGAGGGGAATACCAACTGAACTACAATCTTACATATTAAATTTTCTCAATACATTTTTAATATATGCTGACTGACTGAAACAATCTATCCATCTATAAATTATCAGTTATCCATAAGTTTTATAAATTTTTATGCCAATAAAGTGTCTAATTTCCCGTAAATCATTTGAAACTTATCGTGAAGGTAAGATTAAAAATTTTACATTGTATCACATTTGTTTGTTGCATTAACTATGTATTTCTCGAAATATCTCCCTTATCCAGAATGTAAATTCAGGCCTTTTGGAACGTTCATGTAGATTTCATCCTTTAGAGGTCGGTTTTAAAATGCAGGTTTTACATCCATGTGATGAATGAGAATTAAGTTAATCTTGTATAGCTCTCTCCCAGAAAGATCTGTCCGCATGAAACTTAAACTCATCAAAGGAATTAGGAATATCATATAAGCATTTTTGAGTATTCATAAGACATCTTTCTAAAAATCGATATGATAATTTGGGTTTATGTACATTTAATTTTTTCACAGCGCTTGATTTCTTCTTCCTTTTTATTTACTTTTTATTTATCACCAGTTTCAACAACTGGATCGGCATTCTCAAGACATGTGGAATTTTCATTGAGTTGTTCATTTAACTCAGAATCAACAGATTCATTATTTTCCACCAAAGGAAAATCCAACTCTTCATTTTCTTTAGTTACAGATTCATTATTTTGTTCAACAGTATTACACTGAATATCAATGCAAAACTCTTGATTTTAACATGTTTATTTCATTCACCAAAACATCTCTTGCTGTCATACATTTCATCATCATACCTATTCCACAGTTAATAACCATTTGGTTCATATCCAGCTAATAAATCTTTTATTGACTTTTCGTCAAACTTTCTTTTTCGTACTTTATTCAATTATAATTATTATTGTTATATCACATCTCAAATGGTGTTTTATTTATCTTTTGCAATGCTCTACTTGGGGATCTGTTAATTATCTCTTAAAACAGCCTCACCCAAAAGTTTTTATTGAGTTTAGCATAATTGATCATAGATCGAGCCTTTTCGGTGACTTTTCGAATTATCCGTTCTGATACACCATTCAATTCTGGAGTATGAAGAACCGTGAAATGTGTTTTGATCGCTGTGTGCTTTGATCGCCAAG